AATTATTTTTCAGGGATTTTTTCATGTTAATAAACATCTGTGTATATCCTTACAAATATACTCCATCTGCAAAATTACAGCTGTTACCTATAAAATTAAATCATACTTACATATTTATAATGCAGATGGTGTTAGGGGGAGGGACATTCTCATTTTACGAAGAATTTGATTGGACAACAATCTCTGTACTTCATGATGAGTCATTATTTTTTGGACCCTTTTACCAAAGAAATTGTATAAATCTTAAAATATGTCAGTGTCATTGTTCTGTGTCAAGATGCACACCTGTAAAGTTTTCGGCATTTTTGTAAAAGTTGCATAAATATCTTAATTTAACAAAGGCCTAGTCCTGGCTTAAGCTAAGCCCCATTTGTGAAACCGGGCCATAGTATTTCTGAAATATCACTTAAGTTAACAGACAGAAACTCACAAGGGTCTAATTTTTATTTAAATAATTGTTCATATGTTTGAATATATTCCAACTAACACCTAATAGGGAACAATGAATGAGCAATGAACTGGCAACATAATTTCCAATCCCAAGTTTGCACACTATCAATCATAAAAACCACAAATGTATTTGTCAAGGGGAACCGCCTCAAAAATGACAGGATATAACTAGCAATGACAAGCTGAATCAGCAAAGAGAAACTGAGTCAAGTAAGAGACTCGCTGACAGAGACAAATGGACGCCATCACGTAGTTGCTGATCTCTACTGAAGTACAGGTTTAAAGATTATCACAAGACTGAATCAGTGCCATTGTGACGGTATGTAATAAGCTTCACTGGGAAACCACAATTTACAGCATTATTTGCATTCTGCCCATTCAGAAGCCGGATACATTCAAGGTCAATCTTTAAAGATTCATAAGTTCTTGAAAACACAAAAAAAGGGAAATGGAAAACAGGTAACATGGTTCTCTCTCATATGATTTCCTTTAACTGAAATATACTTTTCCATACTGTTACAGCAGTAATAGACCACTACGCATTTTTGATGAATGATCCATTACATCACAAAATAGTGACAGATAATTTTTTGTTATACTAGAAACATTTTAATAAATTTTTTTAATTGGTTCAGTTATAAAAATAAAACAATGGAAAATAAAAAATAACATTAACAAGCTATAAGCGGCTTTTAAATGACTTATTCAACAGGTTTATTCAACCAAGTATAAATGCACATAACATTGGAATCACGTTCAAATTTATAAACCTAAAACTATTCTTTTAGAAAGATTTAAAGTGCAGAACAAAACTAGACCTGCAAAATTTGGTTTTAAATAACTAAATTAATATACATTTAAATAACCTGTAAACATATGTGCAACAGAGAGCTGTAAAGTGCAGCTGTCAGCTGCAAGTACTTTGCCTGCTTTGACTTTTGCCTCACACACATAAGATGATGTTCATTGGACAACAGCATCATTCTGGGTTCTTCTGACCGAAAGGTAGAGCAGACTGGCTACGGTCAGGGTCTTTCAGACGGAGGATACGGATTAGGCTGTTGACAGGCAGAGAACTGGGAAAAGGAAAGCAGAACACTACACTTTTACTATCAATTTAAAACGTTAGCGTTATAAATGATAAGAATAAGGCAATTAACACAATCATGTCTTCTAATCTAACTACGTCTGCACATTTTTACATGAACACCAGGGAAGCTCTTTACCTCATGCTCTGCGGCGTGAGGAAAATAAACTGTTTGTAGCGCTGACTGGCAGCTACCTTCAGCATCATATCCATCGAGATCCTCCGGTTTACCATGTCCTGAGAGAGCAAACACACAATATAGTGACTGCACACGCTTCTCCAGGACTCCAGTCACCTGATTGTCATCAGCAGCCACGACAAATGTCCTACTGTATTCGCACAACATGTTATTTGGCTACTTGACATGATATATCAAGCAGTGACAGCAGCGTCCAAAACTACTATAAACAATTTTTTTTTCTTTGTATAATTATGTATACATCCTTTATGGCCACCCATTCAACTGAGAGACTACATTACATTTTTGTATTTGTAAAAAAATATTTTTTATCCAGTTACGGCACCCGAAAAATACACTGATAACAAAATACTTGGTTCAGTCTTCAGTGTCTGATTTGCTGCACAAGAAACATTTCATATTATTATCAATGTTGAAAACAGTTCTGCTGCTTAATATTTTTGTGAATATAAAGTTCAAAACAACAACACCTATTTAAAGAATATAAATCTTTTCTAACACTATAAATGTATTTTTGGTCACACTTTTGAATAGTTTAATGCATAAAAAGTGAGTAATAAACATTTTATTAAAAAATAAAATCTCAATGACCCCAAACTTGTGAATGGTGTATATACAGTATCTCCCAAAAGTGAGTACACCCCTCACATTTCAGCAACCATTTTATTATATGTTGTCAAGGGACAATACTATAGAAATGAAAATTGGATATACTTTAGACTAGTCAATGTGCAGCTTGTATAGCAGTACAGATTTACTGTCCTCTAAAAAAAACTCAACATACAGCCATTGTTGTCTAAATAACTGGCAACAAAAGTGAGTACACACCCTAAGTGAATGTCAAAACTGAGTCCAAAGTGTCAATATTTTGTGTGAGCACCATTGTTATCTTTTTTTTTTAAATTCAATTTATTTGTACAGGGACAACGCACAACAACAGTGTTGTGCCAGAGTTAGCTATAAAGCTAATTTGCATCTGCAGTTCCCCAGTTTCTGAAGGGAGGGCAATATGTTCTGCTACAGAATATCACAGTACATGTTGGAATCCATGTTTCCCTCAATGAACCGCAGCTCTCCAGTACCAGCAGCACTCATGCAGCCCCAGACCATGATGCTACCACCACCATGCTTGACTGTAGGCAAGACACAATTTCCTTGTTACTCCTCACCAGGGCGTCGCCACACATGCTTGACACCATCTGAGCCAAACAAGTTTATCTTAGTCTCATCAGACCACAGGACATGGTTCCAGTAATTCATGCTCTTTGACAGGTTGTCTTCAGCAAACTGTTTGC